GCAGCTGCTTTTTTGGCAGGGCCATGGGTGTCAGGTACAGCAAGAGAGCTGGGCCAAGCTGCTGAGAGAGAGCCTGGGGGAACCAACGCTGGTGGGAATTGCATCTCTTTCTCTGCATATATATAAACAAGAATACTTGCAGAATATTTAGAGACAGTCCCTCTGTACATGTATCTAACCATGGGTACACGTGCATGTGTCTGTGATGTGTACATGTGGTCTGCATGTGTATGTGTTTGGGGCAGAGCGAGTGCACACCCAGGAAGCAGCCGGGGCCTTGTCTCGTAATACCTCTCAAACCCCTCTTTGTAGTACACTGACTGCTGGCACTTTGGTGAAATTGGAAGCAAAGTCAGACATTAAAGGTCATTTCTCCTCTGGAAAAAAAAAAAGAACTAGAATCTCTGGGAAAAGGGCTCCAGGAACGCTTATTTTAACCAGCACATAGAATCACAGGCAATCATTCTCAAGGAGGTGTTTTGTAAGCATACTCTGACCAATGTTGTACACGTGAATTCCTGTTTTCCAAAGTAGGCCCATCACAAATACTTTGCTAGTTTCTAGAATCTTTCCCCTCTACTTTTAAGAGGTAGAGTCTATGCCCCCTACCTTTGAAACTGGGTGGGCTTTTGTAACTTAGTTAACTAGTAGATTACGGTGAGAGTGATGCTAAGTGACTTCTAAGGCTAGGCCAAAAAGATGATTCAGCTTCTGACTCTGGTTTTACTGGCTAGAACACTCACTCTTGGAACCTAGCCACCATGCAGTGAGGAAGCCCGGGCTGCCCAGGGGGAGGCCTACTTGGAAAGGAACTAACAGCCAGCACCAACTTGCCAGCTATGTGAGCCACTGTGGAAGTGGACCTACCCCCAGTTAAGCTGCCCAGACTAACGCAACATGGAGCAGAGATGTGTCTTCCTGCCAAGCCCTGCCCAAATTTCAGATTCAAGAGCTAAATAAATGATTGTTGTTATTTTAAGCACTGCGATGGTTTATTAGGCAATAATACACTTCTCACCCAATAGTCGCTCCGTCTTTCTTCCTATCAGGGTGAATTCTCCTGGGCTGCATCTAAATATTCTGCAAGTACCTTGTCCGATGTCATTTACTTTCCCAAATTCGTCTAATCACAGGAGCACACAGTTCGGACTTCTGGTTATTTGAAGTTCTCATTGTTACCTCTAAGATTTGGTTTCTCATCTAAAAAGCACTGGTAATAAGAAAGCCTACCTTATATACTTTATAATTGAGATAATCCATGTAATCATTTAGCATTGTGCCCAGCACAAAATGTTTTCTCTTATTATTCTTACTTGGTTTCTTGCATTCAGATTCCTCATTTCTTTAATGTCCTTTTTTTTTCTTCCTTATAGCTTAATGCCACTTTACAGGCTATTTCCTATGGCGGGCATGCTCTTCCCTATCAGGTCAGCTAGACTTTCCTCATCCTTTAGGACTCCACTTCTCCTTTGGGAGGCCTTCTCTGACTTCTCAAGCAATTAATGCCTCTCTGTGCTCAAGTAGCCACCTTGGAAGAACCTCTATTATAGCCCTCAACACACTGGACTGTAATTTTTTACTTGTCTCTCTTCCCTGGACTCGGCAGGGTCAGAGTCTTTGCATTCATATCCTCTAACGTAACACCTGGCTCATCTTCAGTCGTTCACTATGTCTGTCTGTACTACTACGCTAGGAAACGGCAGGTAAGCAGTTAAGGGGTCCATGTTTTGGCAGGCCTGCCTGAGGACAAAACATCTCCACTTTCTCCTGCACAACTTTGGAACATGTTAGTTAACGTCTCTGAGCCTCATTTGTCAGGTGGAGACTACACCTTCTTAAGATTGCTATGAAGTAAAATAACATTTGCAGAAAGTCCACCACATAGCAATCGATCATCAGGATGTCACAAAAGGCATCCCCAACAACCCTTTTTCGGGCACCCTCACTCTAATCCTCCTTTGACACACCCCGCCCCCCGTGGGTAATCCCTCTAACGGATTACTCCGGGCCATCTAATCCTGTCCTTGCTTTTCCCTCTAGCTAGCAACTCTGTATCTCAACCACCAGTCCAGGCCTTCAGAAGCCATTCTTCTTGCTTTCAGTTCTCTCCAGACCCTTCTTTTTGTTTTAGCCTTCCTGTTTAAGGGGTGTGCCAGAGGCCCGATTTTTGCGAACTTTAAACATAAAAACTCTCTGGGTAAGGTTTTCCTGGATAACTTGCGAGACTCAGAAGATTTGCGATCGATTTTTGTTCTTCCCTTCCCTGTGAGGAAGGAGCCGGCGTTTCGACGAGACCGCAGCCGTCCCCGGCG